AGCGTCCAAACAAGAATCAACTATCAAAAAGTTTTCTAAGACCAAATACGACTCCCTTCCCTCCCCCGAACCACCAAATACGATCTTCTCTCCGCAGTGAACGAATGCGACCCCATCCCCCAGCGACCACCAACAGAACTCCTCCCGTTGCTGGGGAATCCTTAAAAAGGTAAGGAGTCTACCCTCTCCCCCCGCAACAGCATATCCTCATAGCGTACGTGCAGGAAAAATCAGCAATCAAAAAAAACTTCTCATTGTCAGACCAAACAAGACCCCTCCTTCCCCGGCGACCAAATACGATCCCTGTTGGGGAATCCCCAACGATAATGTGCCCTGAATACAGCTGCTGCCAAATTTTGCAGAATGAATTGCATTCTGAAAAATAGCATTGTTGCATGTAAGCATGTGTTTTTGTTTGGCCTAGCTCAACGAAAAGCAGGAAAAAACGATTACGCATGCAGAATGGTATTGGCTGACTTCAACCGGCATGTTCGTTCCGGGAACCTCTATTCTAACCGGTACCGTAAGTTCTGATCGCCTCGTATTTACCATTCCGTTCATCCTTTCTTTCTATGGTCACACACTCAGCTTCCCTCTCTTCCCTTCTACTTGTTGTTGGCCTAAACTGTTCTGGATTTTTCTTACGATTCAGGATACTTGGATTTATTAAATGCAGGACAGGTAAACCGCGCTCTATGTGCTGATGAAGAAATGCTAACCGCTGCTTGCCACCACTTCACATCCGAGATCATAAGGGGCTGGGCCAGTACCGGCTGGGGGATCTACGTCGCGGCAGCTCTGCAGAGAGGGTCTTGCAGATGGCAGTCCAGTAGGTGCGCAGCATTCACACCACGACCTAGTTGTTTCAACGTACAAATCAGTCTCTTCAAAGTAAGTCATTCGCAGACGCATCTGGTACCAAGCTGCAGTCACCCAAATGTACACTTTAGTTCGCTGCGTACGGTTGGGCGTGTTAGGCAGTATGAGTATGTCACCGTCAGCAGCCGTTCTCATGCCTGCTTGTTGAAACAGCGCATGCAAAATCAAAAAGTGTAGAAAAACGAATAATATGAACGATATTGCATGCAGTTATATCATTTGCTCGCTTTAACCACTGGTGGAGAACTGGTTTGGCATCACGCCAAACTCATCCCGCCTGACACGCCCAACCTCCGCAGCGAGCTACACTATAGATGGAAGAAGGCTGGTTTGGTCTGGAGGCAGGGTCGAGATTTCACCCTCGCCTCGCGCGCGTGGTAAGCGTGACACTTGTTAGAAAATCACCTCCGACTCTTGGATGGGAGGAGGGGATGGAGTCGCGTAATGAAGGGTGAGTGCTGACCCATTTCATACGCACTGTTCTTACACGAGCTGTGCTCTTCAACTGCCCATGCGTACTCTAAATGAAACTGTTCATTTCCTTGCGCATCAAATCGCTCTCGTCACTTTAGAGCATGCGGACAGGAAGTTTACAAAAATACTGTTCCTTAAGAGGAACAACGCTCTTACGTGTTACCAATTATACGCTCGTATCCATGACTGATTATAAGCCCCTATCTCCAGCGGGTGACTTCGCTGTGGTACAGAGGGTTACGATACTAGGTTTCCTCAAAGATCTATTCTGAGGGGCTGATGTTTCGAGATATCAAAAACGGGTCCGCTTCAGAGGATAGGATGGCGAGGAGGGAGAGGAGGGAGGCGTGGAGGGACTGGCATTTTGCCAATTTGCTCGTCAACTTGGTGAGACCTGTTAACCTTTTGTGAGCTGATAGCATAGCGAGCGCCTAACTTGTGTGTCAAGAGCTTTACAAGGAATTCATAAACTTCCACGAGAGCGGTCCGTACATGCATCAATAAGTACCATTTCGTAGGTTCACAAGAGTTTGCAGTTCTCTACGGCGATAGAAACTAGCAAAATACCCATCCAAGGCGAACTGCGCTTTGAAAACAGATTTTTGAATGGATCAGAATCTGAAAGACAAACCAAAACATTCAAGAAGTTTATTATTATACACATAACTGGCTCTTATAAGAGTTAAGAAACAAGCAAAGCACAGGAAATCTGCAAATACGCGCTCTTATGGACAACAACGACATCAATTACAGTTACACCTCAGAATACAGGAAACTATACATTTTTGACGACTTCGGTGCACCGGAGAGAGAGAGAGAAATACGCGTAGAACTTTTTCAGACTAATCGTATATGACTGCGTTTATATTTTCGGCAGCGTAGCCGCTAGCTTAAGCGCTTCCAGCCGTTACGCCAGCCGGCATGTTCGGGGAGCAGGATAAGCATATGCGATCCAGGCAGCCTTCCCGCGTCACCAGCGTAACGCTACGCTGCCCGCCAGCGTTTCTCCAAGCGCTTCACCAGCGTTTGCTTGGCGTTTCAGCCGGCAGGGGAAGTAGAGCTATGCTGGCGCGTAACAACGCGGAATCGATGTGGTATTGTAAGAGACTGAGGGCGAGTGAGAGACGCGCAATCGATGTGTTTTGTACCCTCCAGCTCTCCCATAGTCTCTACTCCCCTGCCGCTGCAAACGCTAGCAAAACGCTGGTGAAACGCTGGAGAAACGCTGGCGTACGCTGGTGACGCTGGGAACGCTAGATCGATATGCATCCTCTCCCCGGCACTGCCGCTGGCGTACGCTGGAAGCGCTACGCTACGCTGCCGCAAAGTATAAACGCAGCCTATCGGAACATTCACAACTAACTGTTGTAATGGAAGCATGACTTAGAAACCCTCGTAATTGTACGTGAAATGGAATACTTCCGAACAAAATAATAAGCAGCAGCAAAAAAATAACTTCAAAATGGTACCGGATACAAGAGGAAATTGGGCCCTGTCGATGTTTTCGGGAAGAAGATCGACTAGGAAGCATAACGCTCCAGATAGCCCCTCGAAAAGACTGAAAGGAGAATCCGGCGTTCTCTGCGCTGCTCGAATGTTGCTGTCTAGAATCATAAGACCGAAGCATCGTGCTCGTTGCAACCACTCCTCATCCCCGCACGCACGATACAGCATCAGTAGGGCGTAGCCTGCAAAGAAATCAAGTTTGTGAAAGAAAAATCTGGCAAGCTTCAAACAGCCACTTCTAATTCGCGCACAAATTCCTTGCGTTCCAATCTTCAGAATTACTCTCAGTAATCATCAGAACCAAGTTCATTAATCATCCTACTCAAGCTAACTGGTATGGGAGGAACCGAGAGCCCCAGGTTTGATCAACTCCTTTTAGGTTACGCCGCGCATTGCACTTCCATTAAGGAATGTGGTGACTTTCAAAATCGCCTTATAAGGTGGCTAGCAGGGGAAACTGGTGCACACTTCAACTCCCAGACGAGGCTGGCTGTTAAAAGGTCCATGATGTGGAAGACGAAATCTTCAAAATCTCGCGAGAACTCAAGTGATAAGCAACATTTTTCCATGAAAATCACTTCCATCCGATATGCACTGGCGGGTACTCACATCATTAGAGCTTGGACTTATTATTCTCACTCACCATTTCCTCCAACGCCGTGACAAATGCCAGGTCCTTTCTTCAGCACACCCTTGTTCCAAATCAGTTCACCACATCGCAAAGCCGCCTACAACATGGTACCCATCAAATATTATAGTCATAATATCATAAAAATCATCTGTTTAGGAAGAGCTGACTTGTCGGTCAGCTTACTACACTTGAAAAGATCACTCAAGCGCTGTCGAAAAACAAGGGTGGGTAAATCTGCATCAAGCTCATGCAAGAGGGAATCTGAACTGATGCTTCCATATGTCTTGCAGAGCGCATCATTACGCACACCCTGCGAATCCAAAGCAAGAAATCTTAGAAATATAATGGGTGAGTACCTTCAAATATTTCTGTCCCCCATAGCGTTTCCACATTGTCAGACAAAGCAGTATAACACCGGCAGCACCGTTAGGCACCAATGCAATAACTGTCGTCATACACGTTTCCCTGAAATATTTTCAGTTTCATTGCGTCATGTATGTCGTCAGGTGCGGCTTTCAACAAGGACGGGAAGCCGATCTTCTTGAGTCCAGTCTATTACTCCTTTCGCCCCTTAGGACTTGTTCAGTGGAACACGCTTGACCGATCGCCGGTGCCCCTTCGACCCCAACTGTCGGGGGCGAAACGAAAACACTGGTACTCATATAGTTAGCACTCTTCGTACTGCGTCCGCCAGATAAAGTCTCGTGCTCTTTCTCTCTCTCTCTCTCTCTCTCTCTCTCTCTCTCTCTCTCTCTCTCTCTCTCTCTCTTATAACAATCCACTGAACCACCGAGTAATTCGGCGTTAAAGGGGTAAATTAACCCTAAGTCTCATAGCGCCCGAAAAACAGCTCAATGCGCCTTACGGAAGCCTCATCCTACGGTATCTCCAGAAGAATATCTACTTTCGGAGAGGGTATACACTACACCACTTCCGCCTCGGAGTGGAAATTATACAAGAAGAAATTGTCAAGTAGACCATATTCGATTAATGAGTAAGGCGCAACGTGGAGGAGAAGGTACAAATCGAAAGCAATAATCAGAAGCGCGGATCAGAAGACGGGCAGGACGAGCAGACCAGGGTACCTCGCCTTCAAACCTCATTGCTCCATACACACAAGTAAGAAGCTACACACATGCGACGAAATACCATTTTGAAGGATCACCTTCCAATCCATTTAATGCTACTGGCGAAATTTCCTTCATCGTCTTGGGTCGACATTAACCAATCAGCAGAATCGCGCACTGCCTGTTCGTCAGATTCGGAGAGAAGGTTATGGAAACTGAAAATAGGTAATTTTCCGCAAAATCGCGAATATATACATTTTGAGAACTAACGCACACTATATTCTAGTAGCTGAAAACTTGAACGAGTAATGCATTACAAACCCCAATGCCGTCTGAAGGATTCCAGCAAGTCCATGAGCTGCACCTAGGTATTCCGTCCCATGATATTCATACATCAGCGGACAAGGTGATCTATGTCGTGAGGAATACCTGCATAAGTGAGACGTTATGTTCTGTGTACTACTACTCCACTATTACTCTTGCAACATCGAAGTCAGACAGTTAACAGCACGCCACTGAATAGTGAAAGTAATAATATGCGAGGGGCACAT